TTCTCACAGGAAACGGGATCTGCGCCAGGTCACATCTCGGGAGCAGCRGGAGGGAGCCCCGTCGTGTGTTTTGGAGTCTGTAAGAGTTTGTGTTCCTCAGTTTGTGGGGAAGAAGCCGCCGCGGCTTTGGCGTGTACCGGGTGYGACAGCCGGACGTCCAGGGCATCGTTGTGTTGCGCTAAGGAGTGCAGGCGGTAGTGCAGGACCAGGTCTTTCAACGAGCAGTGGGCGTCGTACGGCTCTGCGAAGCCGTATCCGTGCGGCGTGCTGTAGATCATACAGTGCTTCACCTCCTCGTTCACGCTGAAACACAGAAAACACAGAACGTTGAAGTACCTGTGACCTGTACATCCCTCAAACACAAAACGTTACAGAAAACAACTTTATTTTTAAGAAACTTGGTGTAGAATAGGATTTTAAACATTTTGTCACACAACTGGCATAKTTTCTTTAGAACTTGGCTCAGCAAAGTGAAACAGGAAGTGACATCAAAGGGGAACCCTTTGGTGTTTGTTGAAACATTATTTGAACTTTGACTCTTCTTCATCTCTCTGATAGAGTCAAAATAATCTAAAGAAACATCAGATTCTTCTCTAAACTCTGTGTTGTTATTGTAGCAATTTTCTGTTCCCACGCAGACATTCCCCTATGACATCACTTCCTGTTAATTCACACGCAAATATCTCAACAACTGTTCATCTCAGCGTTGTTGAATTTTTTTTGCAACACATTATAAATGTTATCTTTCCAAAATATGCATTTATATTTATTAAAATATGCATCCAAGTTGCACAAAGGAGCGTTATCGCAGATCCTTGCTCCCAGCTGCTGTCAGACTCTATAACCAGCACCATGCCCAAAAATCACAGTAAGTGTTTACACACCTGCTGCTGCTGCTCCGCACAATCATCTTACTGTTATTATTCATTGTCATTAGTCATTTGAACAATCATYTGCACTACTACTGATTTATATTACTAATCTGCACTACTACTCATTTATATTACTAATCTGAGCAATCATTTGATCTGTTGTTACCCATTTTAAACTTTAAAAATAATTCTGCGGTAACTGCACATTTTTTTCTTGTCTGCACTGTGAAACTTTACAGTCAATAGTCTGTTGAGTTGTTTTACACTCAAAACAGGCAAATTCTTATTACCAATGTCAAATTCTGATAGGTAAAAACAGTATATAAAACAATGTTTGTTTTTCTTGCACAGTCCTTTATATTATATTATATTATATTATATTA